AAGTTATTACGAAAAAAAAACATTTTATTATTCTATAATATTAATAGAATATTCACAATTAAAAGTAATATATTTCAATAGACCGGGAGGATGCCAGGCTGTATAACTTTTAGCGTTTAGTGGACCATGGGGTCAAGGTGTGGGGTCTGGGGTCACGTAGGACGGGGGTTCGAATCCCGTCTTGCTCAACATCATCTTCATAGACAGATCACGCAACTGTGATTTCATTGCGTATTTCCTCAAGTTTCAAGACAATAACATTGATTCAAATTGCCTCGAAAGTTAATGTGAAACTTGAGATTGAGACTTGAAACTTGAATTTAATTCGCGGTCGCATCTTGGAGAGGCACACGCCAAGTTCTGTTTCAGTAGACATCAATCTGTTCCTGTGGTTGATACCTGGTTGATGGGGTTCTGGGAGTTCTCCTACTCCCCAAGCCCGGCCCGAGGCCAGGCTTGACTTGTGAGAGTTTGGTCCACCAGGCTGTTGCTTGGAGCGGCCCGCAGGCCCACATACCTACCACAGCCCGGTTGATCCGGCACTCCTTGGAGAAATAAATCTAGTTTCCTCTTGAAGATGACACAATGACACAGGCTCGACGATACAATGACACAGGCTTACGGAACCCTGATTGGGAATCCGTGTAGCAGGCCGGGGCAGGACTCTAGTACTGGTAGTGAAGTACTAGAGTACTAGAGTACTAGAGTACTAGAGTACTAGAGTACTAGAGTACTCTAGCACAGTAGTGAACCCAGACAGCCAGACTGATGGGGTCCCAGGAGGCCTACACCAGGCCACAACACTCCCAGCTCCACCCATCACACTGTCTCTCCCCCACACCCTTCCCATTCACACACATCCCCCTCCTCAAGCTTTCCCGTCCGCCCTCCCACACTACCCCCCACCCAGGTGCCCCACGCCCCTCCCACACTACCCTCTCCCACCACCCACAGACAGGTCGAAGACGTCTCTTTTGGACCCCCCTCGGAGGCTCCTCTGAACATATATACGTCGATAATATATATCCAAATAGATAATAATATAGAATTCAATAAGATGGAATAGACCAAATCAGAGGAGACAGGGAAATACATGAAACGGAAACTGAGAGAGAGAGAGAGAGAGAGAGAGAGAGAGAGAGAGAGAGAGAGAGAGAGAGAGAGAGAGAGAGAGAGAGAGAGAGAGAGAGAGAGAGAGAGAGAGAGAGAGAGAGAGAGAGAGAGAGAGAGAGAGGCGAGGGGAGGACAGACAGTGTAGAGAGAGAGAGGGTGAGAAGTGAAGATTGAGAGACAGGATAGGGAGGGTGGAAAGACATGGGAAAGAGAGGGGAAAGGAGAGGCGAGAGGGGGACATGGGAACCCAAGCTGCCATAGCTGTAAGCTCATGCCTCTCTCCCATCACTTATGCTCTCGAGAAGGAATAAGAAATATCACTTTCCACCTTCACAGACACTCTCAGCTCCTCCTAATAGATACCCCATCTCCTCTCCCAGATGCCCCCCCCCTCACTACCCTTCCCTCCCTCCCAGAGACCCCCCAGATCCTACAGAGACCTCTCCCTTTCCATTCGGATTTTCCACCCTCCCACATATATACCCTTTCTTTCCTGCAGGAACTCCACACCGTCCTCAGAGAGCCCTCATCTCTTACAGAGAGCCCTCACCTCTCACAGAGAGCCCTCACCCCATCAGAGAGCCCTCACCCCATCAGAGAGCCCTCACCTCTCACAGAGAGCCCTCACCCCCATCAGAGAGCCCTCACCTCTCACAGAGAGCCCTCACCTCTCACAGAGAGCCCTCACCCCCCATCAGAGAGCCCTCACCCCCATCAGAGAGCCCTCACCCCCACCAGAGAGCCCTCACCCCTATCAGAGAGCCCTCACCCCATCAGAGAGCCCTTACCCCCATCAGAGAGCCCTCACCTCCGCTGATCCGGGCAGAAAACGTGACAATCCCTCATCACAAAAGAACACGAACTCATCACAGATCAAGTTCAACGTCAGGACTGAAACCACAAAATCCCACCACATAAAACGTAGAAACCCTCCGCACAAAACATCAAAAAAACACCACGTGAAACATAGAAACCCACTACACGAAACAGAACCCCGTAACAGAGACCGTAGACCACGTCATGCCTACATCTTTAACTCCAGAAACCTGCCACAGAAATAGTATAAAAAACCGGTTGAGGCAGTGAAGATATCGTCCAAAGGGGGACGATATCCAGCCTTAAACGTGGCAAGGCTGACTACCGAAGTGAGGAAAGTGGTAGTCCCGGGGCTACACTTTCCCTTCCCACTGGTATTCCCGGGGCTACACTTTCCCTTCCCACTGGTATTCCCGGGGCTATACTTTCCCTTCCCACTGGTAGTCCCGGGGCTATACTTTCCCCTCCCATTGGTATTCCCGGGGCTACACTTTCCCCTCCCATTGGTAGTCCCGGGGCTACACTTTCCCTTCCCACTGGTAGTCCCGGGGCTATACTTTCCCTTCCCACTGGTAGTCCCGGGGCTACACTTTCCCTTCCCACTGGTAGTCCCGGGGCTACACTTTCCCTTCCCACTGGTAGTCCGGGGGCTACACTTTCCCTTCCCACTGGTAGTCCGGGGGCTACACTTTCCCTTCCCACTGGTAGTCCCGGGGCTACACTTTCCCTTCCCACTGGTAGTCCGGGGGCTACATTTTCCCTTCCCACTGATAGTCCCGGGGCTACACTTTTCATTCCCACTGGTAGTCCTGGGCTATACTTTCCCTTCCCACTGGTAGTCCGGGGCTATACTTTCCCTTCCCTCTGGTAGTCCCGAGGGCTACACTTTCCCTTCCCACTGGTAGTCCCGGGGCTATACTTTCCCTTCCCACTGGTAGTCCGGGGGCTACACTTTCCCTTCCCTCTGGTAGTCCCGAGGGCTACACTTTCCCTTCCCACTGGTAGTCCCGGGCTATACTTTTCATTCCCACTGGTAGTCCTGGGCTACACTTTCTCTTCCCACTGGTAGTCCCGGGGCTATACTTTCCCCTCCCATTGGTAGTCCCGGGGCTATACTTTCCCTTCCCACTGGTAGTCCGGGGGCTACACTTTCCCTTCCCACTGGTAGTCCCGGGGCTATACTTTCCCTTCCCACTGGTAGTCCGGGGGCTACACTTTCCCTTCCCACTGGTAGTCCCGAGGGCTACACTTTCCCTTCCCACTGGTAGTCCCGAGGGCTACACTTTCCCTTCCCACTGGTAGTCCCGAGGGCTACACTTTCCCTTCCCACTGGTAGTCCCGGGGCTACACTTTCCCTTCCCACTGGTAGTCCCGGGGCTACACTTTCCCTTCCCACTGGTAGTCCGGGGGCTACACTTTCCCTTCCCACTGGTAGTCCGGGGGCTACACTTTCCCTTCCCACTGGTAGTCCGGGGGCTACACTTTCCCTTCCCACTGGTAGTCCTGGGCTATACTTTCCCTTCCCACTGGTAGTCCCGGGGCTACACTTTCCCTTCCCACTGGTAGTCCCGGGGCTACACTTTCCCTTCCCACTGGTAGTCCCGCGGTTACACTTTCCCTTCCCACTGGTAGTCCCGCGGCTACACTTTCCCTTCCCACTGGTAGTCCGGGGGCTACACTCCTCACTTCTCATTTAGCGAGAGCAAAGACAATAAAGGAGTCGAGTTAGTGGGAAGAAACACCGGGAGAGTGACACCGGAGACGGCACTGTGCCACCAGCAGGAGGGCCAACAAGTGCCAGCGGCTCCCCCTTGTGTGGAAACCCCTCACCCTTATCTGCCCTGAGTGACAGGTTGCATAAAGTAGATAGTGTCGAGTCTACTGCTACATCTACTGAGCTACAGTAGAAGGAGGAGAAGGAGGAGGAGGTCTTAGAGTTCTGAATGGAGGTAGCTTCCAAAACTGGAGGGAAGGGGTGGAAGGGAAAGGTGGAACAGGTGAAGGGGCGGGGAAGGGAGGGCAGGTAGGAAGGGCCCACCGGGAAGGGGGTGGGGGTGTGTGGCACCTGGCGCCGTCAGGTAGCCGCCACCAGGAGGTAATCAGGCAGGTCGTCGGCAAAGTGAGGCCTCATTAACATCCTCTCAGACAAGCTCAGATGGGCAGACTCCCCGCTCTCCTTATTACTGTCACGCGGCTTATAGCACGGAATGTGAGCCCCACACACACACACACACACACACACACACACACACACACACACACACACACACACACACACACACACACCAGAATACAGAGGGCTAAAAATGAGGAGAGCAGAGGGCGACAAGATCCCCACAACAGCCACAGGATTAATAGTCATAAAGAAGCTATACTCAATAAAGAGACAATTAGGATGCGGCACACGTACATACACATGGATATTTCAGTCACGTGAAGCTAAATACACAACCACAGCAGGATAATACACATCCACAGCAGGATAATACACATCCACAGCAGGATAATACACAACCACAGCAGGATAATACACATCCACAGCAGGATAATACACATCCACAGCAGGATAATACACATCCACAGCAGGATAATACACATCCACAGCAGGATAATACACATCCACAGCAGGATAATACACATCCACAGCAGGATAATACACATCCACAGCAGAATAATACACATCCACAGCAGGATAATACACATCCACAGCAGGATAATACACATCCACAGCAGGATAATACACATCCACAGCAGGATAATACACATCCACAGCATGATAATACACATCCACAGCAGGATAATACACATCCACAGCAGGATAATACACATCCACAGCAGGATAATACACATCCACAGCATGATAATACACATCCACAGCAGGATAATACACATCCACAGCAGGATAATACACAACCACAGCAGGATAAAACACATCCACAGCAGGATAATACACATCCACAGCAGGATAATACACAACCACAGCAGGAGGATAATACTCATCCACAGCAGGATAATACACATCCACAGCAGGAGGATAATACTCATCCACAGCAGGAGGATAATACACTTACCCCCAAGCGGAGTGTAGGTGGAGCCAGTCTGGGTGTAGTTCCCACCGCCTCGACCCTGGTAGTAGTCCGGCGCTCCCGAGCCCTGCAAGGGAGCAGTGAATCAGTGACACATGGTAACACTGTGATGAGTTTATAACATATATTAATCCAAAGGTGAGTCAGTAACACGGAGGTGAGTCAGGACGCTGCAACACTGCAGGTGAAGGAGGACGCTGCAACACTGCAGGTGAAGGAAGACGCTGCAACACTGCAGGTGAAGGAAGACGCTGCAACACTGCAGGTGAAGGAGGACGCTGCAACACTGCAGGTGAAGGAAGACGCTGCAACACTGCAGGTGAAGGAAGACGCTGCAACACTGCAGGTGAAGGAGGACGCTGCAACACTGCAGGTGAAGAAGGTGCTGCAGAAGTCTCTAATCTATCCATGGCGGCGCGAGGTCAAATATATGCCAGAAAATAATCAAAAAGTCTTTGTGAAATTGTTAATAAACTCTTGATATCACTGGTGATTGTAGTTTATAAAACCTTACACTCAGTACATGGCACTTGCTCGAAACACACACATACACACACACACACACACACACACACACACACACACACACACACACACACACACACACACACACACACACACACACACACACACGAACTCTCCTTGACTAAGCAAGACGGTCTATCCATTAGCGGGTGTCAAGAGCTGCTCTCAACTTGACATATCAAAACCATGGAGAAAAAAGAATGAAAAAAGATTGCACAAAATGTCAAGATATTCCGAGAGGCGGCGTCTTGTCTAACCCAAGCCAAGAGGGCGGCGAGAAGGCCCTGTATCACGTGATAGATTAATACTTATATTAAGCCAAGACAGAGTATATATAGAATACTTAAAAAGACGTATACACGCAGTCTGCACGTCTTACGCCTGGACGGGCCAAGGAAGTGATGAAATTCTTGTGCTTCACCTCAGTTGTCTGGGGTTTTTCTTAGGGGATAAGATCTACAGCAGGTTCTGTGAAGGTTCTTATGTTTGATCACCGTCAGAGCTCCTTATCCAGGAACCAGGTATTGTGTGGTGTAGATGTTTGTACTTTAGGCATGTATTTTGTTTATTATGCATTCTATATTTATCCTGTGAGCGGAGGTGGACCCCATACCTATCCTGTGAGCGGAGGTGGACCCCATACCCATCCTGTGAGCGGAGGTGGACCCCATACCCATCCTGTGAGCGGAGGTGGACCCCATACCCATCCTGTGAGCGGAGGTGGACCCACATACCCATCCTGTGAGCGGAGGTGGACCCCATACCCATCCTGTGAGCGTTAGTGAAAAAGGCTACACACACACACACACACACACACACACACACAATGGGCACAGAAACTGAACCACAATAATAAATGTATCGTATCAATGTGAGGTAGCAGCTGTTGTAAGGTCGAGGTAGTGGAGGTCTGGGAGCACCAGGAAGCGCCCCCTCACCCCTCTGCTTCCTCCCTAGAGACTATAGACTTTGGGTAACTTGATGGATTTTAGTTTGCTTTCCACTGTCAGGGAAGCCCTTGTCGAGGTCCCCTGAGGCTCTCCCACTAACCTTCTCCAGGATGTTGTTCTACAATTATTGCCTAACTTCCGGGGTAGCTGTATATACAGCTAGGTGAACAGAGGTATAAGGTGAACAAAACGCCCCCAAAAGTCTCGAACCCGGGACTTTAAGGTTGTGAACCGTCTGACCAATCAGAAAAGACTAGTCAGGCAGCCTACGGTTAATTACCTAACCATCAGGAGCAATAATTAGCCGTGCCAGCAGGCACCAGGCACGCCCAGCAGGCACCAGGCACGCCCAGCAGGCAGCAGGCACGCCCAGCAGGCACCAGGCACGCCCAGCAGGCAGCAGGCACGCCCAGCAGGCACCAGGCACGCCCAGCAGGCACCAGGCACGCCCAGCAGGCACCAGGCACGCCCAGCAGGCACCAGGCACGCCCAGCAGGCAGCAGGCACGCCCAGCAGTCACCAGGCACGCCCAGCAGGAACTATCGGAACGCGTCGCTAAACTCAGAAATAATATATACAAATGAATAATCTCTAATACATACAAAATCAATCATCACTGAAAAATAAAAGTTCTGGCCTTTTCTTAAATCTTCCACAGGATCTTTGTTATACATATTGTAGGTAATGCTGAGGAATAGAGGTTCCGGTAGAGGCGGCTCTGAGACAGTCGCGGATCCTCCCCTCCCCCCCCTTCAACATTCCCCCCCCCCCATAGGCCTACATTAGGCCTACCCTTCACCACCACATCCGTGAAGTGGTTGGGTTAACGCCCAATAAAACGGCTGAGAGACACGGCATTTAAACTAAGAGGGAGAGGGTGAGTGAGGGAGGAGAGGGTAGAGGGGGAAAAGGGAGGGGTGAAAAGGGAGGGGGAGGAAAGGGAGGGGTGAAAGGGAGGGAGGGAGGGGGGAGGAAAGGGAGGGGGAGGAAAGGGAGGGGGAGGAAAGGGAGGGGGAGGAAAGGGAGGGGGAGGAAAGGGAGGGGGAGGAAAGGGAGGGGGAGGAAAGGGAAGGGGAGGAAAGGGAGGGGGAGGAAAGGGAGGGGGAGGAAAGGGAGAGGGAGGAAAGGGAGGGGGAGGAGAGGGAGGGGGAGGAAAGGGAGGGGGTAAAAAGGGAGGGGGAGGAAAGGGAGGAAGAGAGGAGAAGAAAAGGGTAGGAAAAAGTAGAAGTCAATGTGGAGATCTACAATTATTTGTTGTGTTTGCTTCAACTTGCAACACTTCACTCTACACCAGTATTTACTTGTTGTTATTGTTCTCGTTTGTTTTTCATAAGTCCTCTGTAATTGCTGTAGTGATTTACCTTTTTCTTGTATTTTAAGGAATGATTAATATTACAGTTGAACAGATACAATGGGGCAGAACTATGGTTACATCAGCCAGTGACGGGTCTAGGTTCGAGGTACTTCCTCAGCCGGTTACTGTAGCTGAGGTACTAGTGGCTGAGGAACTGTGGACCTTTGGTGGTCCATAATATTTGAAGTGTGTGTGTTACCCCGTCCAACAGCCTGGTTGACCAGTCCAGCAACCAAGAGGCCATGGGCCAGATTCACGAAAGCAGTTACGTTAGCACTTACGAACCTGTACATCTTTTCTCAATCTTTAGCGGTTTTGTTTCCAATTATTAAACAGTTAATGAGCTCCGAAGCACCAGGAGGCTGTTTATAGAAATAACAACAGTTGATTGGCAAGTTTTCATGCTTGTAAACTGTTTAATAAATATAACCAAAGCCGTCAAAGATTGAGGAAAGATGTACACGTTCGTAAGTGCTTGCGTAAGTGCTTTCGTGAATCTGGCCCCCTGGTCGACGACCGGGCCGCGGGGACGCTAAGCCCCGAAATCATCACAAGATAACCTCAAGATGATAAACAAGGAAGACGGTCGAGAACCATTTCAATATGCGATCGATAACCGAGAGCGGGGCCCAAGAGCTGAAGCCTGCGCTGCAAGCCCTTATGGAATTAACCAATGAAGAAAGGCCGAGGGAGCCCAACGTTGATACACAAAAAAAAGAAAGACGGAATCGAGGAGTTATGATTACGACATAAAAGATTCTCAGACAGGTCGCTTTGGTAGATAATGAGGAAATTTTAAGTGTAAGTCTCGGAACTTGAGGCGCGGAATATAGTCACAGGTAACCCAGAAGCGAACTTATTTAGCACAATAGATGTAAGAGTTGTAAATAAAGAGAATAGATTAGAGGTAAAGGTAGCAGTTACAATATAATAACAGGAACTTAGAACAGGTGAGGACAGGTATACAAAGAAAACAAAGAGGTGTGTGAAGAACTCAACAAGAGGTTCCAGGAGGTCTTCACAACAGAACGAGGTGAGGTCACTGCGCTAGGAGAGGTGGCAGTAAACCAGGCGGCCTTGGAAGGGTTCGAAATTACAAAAGATGAGGTCAAGAGACACCTGTTGGATCTGGATGTGAGAAAGGCTGTTGGTCCAGAAGGAATATCACCATGGGTAATGAAAGGGTTATCTTGAGGTTATCTTGAGATGATTTCGTGTGGTTATCTTGAGATGACACTGGGTGTGCAGAGGCACTTTTCTTGCCACTCTCCATAGTGTATAGTAGGTCGCTGGAGACGGGAGACCTACCAGAAATATGGAAGACGGCGAATGTGGTCCCAATATACAAAAAGGGCGACAGGCAAGAGGCACTGAACTACAGGCCAGTGTCCTTGACTTGTATACCATGCAAGGTGATGGAGAAGATCGTGGGAAAAAACCTGGTAACACATCTGAAGAGAAGGGACTTCGTGACACATCCCCAACATGGGTTCAGGGAGGGTAAATACGTGTATTGCCTTAGCGGCTTGATAAAATTCTACGACCAGGTGACAAAGTTTAATCAAGAAAGAGAAGGTTGAGTGGACTGCATTTTCTTGGACTGTCGGAAAGCCTCTGACACAGTACTCCATAAGAAACTAGTATATAAGATGAAGAGACAGGCAGGAGTAACTGGTAAAGTGCTCCAGTGGATAAGGGAATATCTAAACAATAGGAAGCAGAGAGTTACAGTGAGGGGTGAGACCTCAGATTGGCGTGAAGTCACCAGTGGAGTCCCACAGGGCTCTGTATTCGGAACTATCGTGTTTCTGACATACGTAAATGATCTCCCAGAGGGTATAGACTCATTCCTCTCAATGTTTGCTAACGATGCCAAAATTATGAGAAGGATTAAAACATAGAAGGACTGCTTGAGGCTTCAGGAAGACCAGGACAAACTGAAGGAATGGTCGAACAAATGGTTGTTAGGGTTTAACCTAAGCAAATGTAATGTAATGAAGATAGGTATATGGAGCAGGAGCCCAGATACAAGATATCATTTGGGAGATGAAATTCTTCGAGTCAGAGAGGGAGAAAGACTTGGGGATTGATATCACGCCAGACCTGTCCCCCTGAAGCCCATATCAAGAGGATAACATCAGCGGCATATGCCAGGTTGACCATCATAAGAACGGCCTTTAGAAACTTGTGTAAGGAATCATTCAGAACTTTGTATACCACATATGTCAGACCAATCCT